GGTTTAGGGCCGGATTCCCATGAGTTAGGTAATTCCTAGGAAACCAAAACTTAGGCCTGTTCAGTCTTTCAGAGCTTGTCTCTAGTTTTGAGACAGTCTCTTAATCGCCACCCTGAGAAGTCTTCACAGAGGCTATGTCTCACTCATAGGCATTTAATAAATGCTTGTTGTGGTACCTAGGAAAAGATTGGCATTCAACTCAACTACCATTACATTGTAGTTTATGTCCAAATCTTTGTGATCCCATTTGGTGTTTTCTTGGTAAAGATACTGGAATGGTTTGCCATTTCCTTCTCCAGCTCATTTTGCAGATGGAGAAACTGAGGCAAACAGGGTTAAATGACTTACCCAGGGTCACACAGCTAAGAAGTATCTGAGGGTGAATTTGAACTCAGGTCCTCCTGACTCCAGGCCTGGCACTGTATCCGCTGCACTACCTAGCTGGCCCGCTTACAAACAGAGAGAATGGCAGTTCTCCTCAGTAACCTTGGACATGAAGAGGTCAGTTTTCAAAACCATTGCTTTGTCTAAGCAGAATTACATAAAGGAGATTTTATTCCTTTACACTAGGAGCTATTTTTAAAATTTCCTGTCAAATTCTTTCCTCTTCATGGGGCTCTCTCACCCAAGTTTTTGGAAGACTTGGGAAAAGATTTAATAAGTCTTTGGATGAGGGGCAGCTGAGTGGTACAGCGGATAGAGCACTGGGCCTGGAGTCAGGAAGACCTGAGTTCAAATCTGACTGCAGACACTTACTAGCTGTGTGATGCTGTGCAAGTCACTTAACCACTGTCTGCCTCAGTTTCCTCATCTGTAAAATGAAGATAATAATAGCATCTACCTCAGGATTGTTGTAAGGAACAAATGAGATAATAATTATAAAGCACTTAGCATAGTGCCTGGCATGTAGTAGCTATCCTATTATTATTCTTAATAATAATTTAAAAAATGGTCTTTTCCTTAGGTTAACTGTGTATGGAGGTAGGAATAAAATTAGTTTTAATTGTCTGATTTCTAGGAAAATAGTCTTGACACTGGCTTATAAATTGCTTGAGGGGCAGAGGCTATATTTTATTCAACAATTGAATTTCCGTAGTACCAAGCATAATACATTGAACAGGGTAGGTGCTGAATTAATGAACGGAATGAAAGAATAGCATTGGAAGCAGTTTCCTGGGAGTGTCATGGAATTTCCATGGGAGGAGGGGAAAACAGGAATTAGTCCTCTACCACTTAAAAATAGGAAGATTCTAGGGATAATAGGGAGACCAGCTCTGGCCCAGGTCATATCAGTGAAGGAGGGGCACCTCTTTGGCTCTCTTCCTGTTGGGTCTCATTATAAGCATCACTTTATTTTTCTTTCCTTTGTCACTCCTCCCTTCTCCCACCTACTTCCTTTTCTTCCTCTCTCATTTTTTCCTGCTTCCCTCCCTATGCCTCAGGCCAATATCTTCTTGGAGGTACAATACTGCGGGTGCCACCCAGGTTGGTCTTGTGTACAGGTAAGGTTTCTAATTTGACAGTGTCTATACTTGTTTCTGGTAGTAATTAATCTTTTACTTATGATATTTTCTATGACTGTGTATAACTTTATTTATCCCCCGCTCCACCCTGTGATGCCTCATCATGGTGTGGACTAGCACTGGGTTCTCAGCAGAGTACAAGTTCTAGCAGCTCCTACCCAAGTGGGAAGGGTTCCAAGCTCAGGCCCAGTGGTGGACTGTCTCCTTGCCTCTGAGGTCAGTCTAGCCAGGTTGGAAAAAATTCTTCACCTTGGCTGAAGGTTGACTATAAGATAATGAATTGTTTGGACTGCGGTGGCTCATTAAAGTAGTCTTCAAACTCCAGAGAGTTCATTTCAAAATGACAAGCATTTTTAAAATGCCTACTATGTGCAAAGCACTGAGATGCAAAGACAAAAACAAAACACAATCACTGCCCTCAAGGAGCTTTTAAAGGAGTTCCCAGCTGATGATATCATAGATCCTTGAATTCCTGACATCATTTCTTTAGTATCTTGACAAAAATTGCACCATTCTTCCTTCTTTTTTCTTTAAATAAAACACAAATATGGGAGGAGTTAGCACAGATAGTTGTTTTAGCCCAGCCAGTAGGATCCGTTGACATCAGTTAGCCTAAAGTCTTATACTTCTTCTAGGACAGTGACCATAGATATTTTTATTTATCTTTGTACTGCCTTCTGTACTTAGCACTTAATCATAGAATCACATAATGCAGAAGAGTCCTCAGAGACCATCTGGTCCAGGGGTGGCAAACCTGTGGCCTCAAGGCCTCTTGTGGCCCTCAAGTGTGGCCCTTTGACTGAATCCAAACTTCACAGAGCACATCCTCTGTGGATTTGTTCTGTAAAACTTGGACTCAGTCAAAAGGCTGCACCTGAGGACCTAGAAGGCCACAGGTTCCCCACCCCTGATTAGTCTGTCAAATAACTGATTAAGAATGCCCTCTCTAGTAAGTGGTTATCCTTTTGCTTGAAGACCCATCCTCATAGAAACGTGATCTCAAAGCTTTCATCATCTTGGTTGCACTTTTTTGGAAGCTCTCCAGTTTATCAATGTACTCCTTAAAGCATGGTACCCAGAACCAATCATTTGCTACATGTTGTCTGACCGGGGCTCCTTCATTGTAGACAATAAACATAAAGGACAGCCATTAAAAGGCATGATCTGGAGCTGTCTGATTTTTTTACCCACTGGCAAAAGCTTAGCTGCAAACATGTCTGCCTTTTGACCTTGTAAGAAAGGTACTTTAAGAAAGCCCCAATACTCTAATGGATGTGTGACGTCTTTGGTTTGGATTTTTCCTCAAATTATGTGAATTCCAGCCCATCCATGTCTGCCCATTGTATGGAGCTCCTATTTTTGTTCTCCCATGAGCTCACCGTAGGGGTGAATGGGGATCCATCCAACATGTTGAGGGCCTTCCCCATATTCTTTCGATATTTCGAGAGTATCAGTGGAGCATATGACTTATCTTTCAGTTTTTACCTCACTTTTGCCCTATGCGACTGGCCCGTCTCTTTTGATCATACATTTTTTGATAGCATTCTTTGTATCGTGACTCCAATGTAATGTGTCAATTTGTGAATGTTGTAACCTGCTCATGCCCACTATCCACATCTCCATTGTCCTTTGGGTGATCCTAAGTTTTGCTTGTTCATAGGGTTATAGTGTTCCATGACTCACAGACATTCAACATCACCTGAAGAATATTAGTGTTGAAAAGCTAGGCTTTTGTTTCAGGGGGAAGCTTAGGGAGAGGGGAGGTCATTAAAAGACCTTTGCAGTTTCCCAAAGGCTATCCATCTCACTCTCCTCCCCTTCAATTCTGGGCCCAGTTCATTGTCCATTTGTAATGTCTTCCAGATATGTTAAAAAAAAAAGTATGTGTCTATACACACATATACGTACATACACATATGCACATGCATACAAACACTGATAGATGAGTGCTTTGAGTTATCCAGCCAGCTATATAACATAGCCGGGACAATAAGGGTTCTTCATCCACTTAGTTTTTCTGTGTGGATGATTAGGCCCAGTACTTTTGAGTGATTATGGGTTTTATTTAGGAGTCTTTGTAGTGTTCATAGAATTATAGATATGGAACTGGAAGAGACTTCAGTCCAATCTCTTGATTTTACAGATGAAGAAGATGAAGAAACTCAAAACTGTGGAGGTTAAGTGACTTGACCAAGGTTCCATGGTTAGTAAGCATCAGAGGTGGGGTTTGAACCCACATCCTCTGACCCCAAAGTTAATCCTCTCCCCCTTGGGCCTTGCTGCCTCCTAGGCTTGACTCAGTCTGTACAGTGTCATCCACAGATAGGAGTATCTGGAGGATGACAAGGAAATGCCTCTTCTACTCAGACTCTGCTAGGTCCTCTTCATGATGGTGGTGAACACCTTTAGCAAAAGAGGACAACTTTCCCCTTTCTTATGCCTCCTTTGATATTAATAATAAAAGCATCTTTGAACAAAGTTATCCCGGCTATTATCATATCTTTCTAGAAACCTTGTATAATTTTGATATATACATGGAAAATACCATGTTGAAAGTGAGTCTTTAAGATTCTACCATATCAAGTGATTTTATTTTTTTCTAAATAATTCACAAACTAAGCAGTTGTATTGTCCTAGATGGTAAATTTAGAGCTGAGTGGAAAGAGGCTGTGGAGTCCAAATCTCTCATTTTACAGATGAGATAATTGAGGCTCAGACAGGTTAAATACAGTTACACGACTACTAAGTGTCTCAGGAAGGATTTAAACCCACGTCTTCCTTACTCTAAGTCCAGAATTGTATCTATGTTGCTTCTAGTTAATTTTGTCAGAGTACATATAGAGTCTGTATGGATTATCCCAACACATAGCAGGTGATTAATAATTGCTTACTGAATGAATTAACGCATGAATGAGTTAGCTTAAAATTTTGCAGCCTAGTAATGATCTGGTGTTGAGAATTTTGCAAGTTACAAGTTCTTATTCTATGTTGTAAGGCCAAATGTTCCATAGATTTCTTAATATCAGGATGAGGGCCACAGTGCCAGTCATACTTCCTGGGTGTGCAGTAAGGAATTTGGGTGGGGGAATGAACATTCTCAAAGTACTTTATACCAGCAAGCTTCTATGAGAAGACAAGAAGAGAGAACAGACATGCATGATAAAAAGTGGTCTTCTTTTTAAGTGATACGGACAGCTCAGTTTAGAAGGCCTTATTATGGAAAGACCATGTGGGTAGTTAGGCCCTGGGACAGTAGGGAAGGAGTAGGAATGGTTGGCACTTGCCAGATGTCATAACCTGCACGATTGCTAATGACTCAAAATGTTTCTCTCAACCTTTGGATGGGCCCCTGGGGAAGCTGGCACCCGGCCACTTGTGATAGCCCAATCTGATTGGCTATCTGCTCCAGGTTTTTATGTTGGGCTTGTGCCCAGTCAGTCCCGCCCAAGGAGTGCAGCTTCGGGGATAAATCAAAAGCTGTTCATAAGGACCAATTCCATTGGAAAGGGCTCTTTTAGCGCTCAACCCTTGTCTTTCCGAGTGGTTCAGGCTTGACAGCAAGAGTGAGAGACTTGGTGTGGAGGAGGTGGGTTGGGGACGTGTCTGAGCCCTGGATATTGGAGGTAAGTCCTTTCACTCAGAATACCTTGCAGAATTCGGCAGCACCTGCCAGGGTGACTACAGTCAGGTGCTCTGGAATTTGCCTAACTGACCCAGCAAGAGAGCAAGGAAAGTGTTAGAGGCTACCGAGGAGCATGTGGCTTGTAGAGAACAAAGTGGGCAGGGGGGTCAGTCCTTCAGTTTTTAGAGTGGTAATAGGGCAGGCAAAGTGGATTGTTCTTCATTCACAGTTTTTATATGTAGAGTCTTCACCTGTCGGAGCTAATTTTTCCTGATCAACCAAGTCGTTTCAGGGCTTTGGTGTTAAATCTAGTCTTTGCATCGGTAGGAGGCTGTGTCTAGAACAGCGTCTTCCCTGGCTCCAAGGACGCAGAAGATCTACCGATTTCCATTTTTTAATCTAACCTGTATTCTGTCCAGCCTTCTCAGAAATTATTCTTTGCTTAGATCTGATTATTTGCTTCCTGCTATTTTTGTTTTAGTTAGTTTAGTAACCAACAATTATCTTACGATTAACTTACTGTAAAAGCAGATGAGGTCCAATGTACTTCTGTTTGGTTTGGTCTGGTTTTGTGGTGTTGCCCAGTGGTCAGACAGTCACCCCACTAACTACCGTGGTTCAGATCGCATGTAAAGTGAAACCGATTGTTCAGGGTTTGGAGCTTGAGCTGGATTTGAAATAGCAAGTGGTTGGTATCTACAGCCAAGTCCCTAAAGGACATCTGCATGCCTGACCAACCGAAACCAGCAACCAGGAACTTGAGGGTTTGCTCCTTGGTCCATTCAGTGACATCCCTTTCTTCTGGGAAAATACACACTGGTTATACATGCTATTTATATTTCTGTAATTCAACTAAACTCAGGACCCTACCAATGAGTCAATAACTATTTATTAAGCACATACTGTGTGCCAGACACTGTACTAAATGATGGAGAGACAAGGAGAAGTAAAGGACAGTTCCTGTTCTCAAGAAGCTTGCAGTCTAATGGAGGACTGCACAGTCTAATGATAGCATAGAAGTGATAAGCACATGGATTCTTCTATCCTTGTATGTAGGGAGGAAGCATGGCAGAGTAGATAGAGTCCTGCGTTTGGAGTTAGGAAGACCTGGATTCAAATGTGACGTCTGATACTTATGTGACCATCGACAAATAACTTAACCTCTCTGAATCTATTTCCTCATTTGAGATTGCTTCTAGTACTAAGCTCACAAGGTTTTCGTGAGCTTCAAATAAAGGAACGTACGTGAATATCAGCTATTATTGCAAATGAATATGTCTGTGTGATTTGCAGATTATTAATTATGAACATGTTTATGTATACTATGTCATAAATATTAAAATCTATTTTATATATATACATAAATGTGTATTTAAAAAAACACAAAATACGTGCTTCTATTTATAGTTTAACTATATTCTCCAAACCCTACTCTAGATTTATCCCAAATTTGGACTCAAGCTCATAATTATTGTTATTCCTTATAAAGTTGTGGCTATCACAGATGTTGCGTGATGAGACTTGCAAGTCTTAGTTAGTAGGCTAAGGAAATAGGCTGTCCTGTTCTCTAATCCTGGATTAATGAAATGGAACTAAAACCATCACCACGACTTAAAAAGTTGGCTGGTAGGGAATAGGGTGGGGAGTCAGAGGGGACTGAGGAGTTCTGATGAGTCATAGAAACAATTTTAAGGTATTTACAAATATAAATGAATACTTTAGACATGTTTTCTTCTAGCACCTGGTATGTGGTAAGTGATGAATAAATGTTTGTTGATGGTTACATAGTGGATACAGTGCTGGGCCTGGAGCCAGGAAGATTAGAGGTTCAATCCAGTCTGAGTGATCCTGGGCAAATCACTTAAACCTCTGTTTGACTCAGTTTCCTTAACTGTCAAAGGAGAATAATAATAGCATTTACCTCAAAGTGCTGTGTGAATCAAATGAGATAATATTCATAAAGCACTTAGTACAGTACCTGGCAAATAGTAAGCACTATATAAATACTATTAATGTTTTTATTGCTATCAGAGTCATGACAATACCTTTGGCTTCTCCCCCTGGCCAAACGAGAGGATAATCAATCAATCAACGGGAAGTATTGGTTGAGTATTCACTATTTACCAGACACCGTGCTAAGCTCTGGGAATACAAAGAAAAAACACATGTAGTCCCTGCCCACAAAAAGCTTACGTACTAATTGGAGAAATAGGTATGTACAGGGTGCATAAAGATTAAATAGAAGTTGATCTTAGAGGGAAAGACTGTCGCAGCAGGTGGAACCATTGAAAACCTGCTGAAAATGTTGTTTGAGTTGAATCTTGAGGGAAGCCAGGGATTCTGAAAGGTAGAGATGAGGAGAGAGCAAATGAGAGCTAGCCAGTCCGAAGGGAGATGGAGAACTGTGTGGGGAAGGATGGCAAATAGGCCAGTATGACTGGACCCTAGACCACATGGATGGAAGTCATATGTATGTAAGAAGGGTGGAAAGATAAGACAGGATCAGATTGTGATGAGCTTTAAATGCCAGGCAAAGGAGTTTGTATGGCTTATTAAGTAGGGGAGCGATATGGGCAAACCCATATTTTAGGAAATTACCTTTGACAGATTTTTGGAAGAAAAATTGGAGTGAGGAATAAGTTGAGACAAAGAAACCAATTAGAAGACTATTGCCATAAACCAGATGGGAGGTGATGAAGGCCTAGACTAAAGTGGTGGCTGGGTGGATGGAGAAAAGGAGACATGTTTGAGGGCAAAGAAATTATGAAATTTGACGACTGATTAGATCTGCGCCATTAGTGAGAGTGAGGGATGGTGGATAGCTCTGGGCTTGACAAACTGAGGGGTGGGTTGTGTCCTCGATAGCAAGTCAGTAAAATAGGGGATTTTTTCTAAGTGTAGGGGTAGGCTGGGGGTGAGGGAAGATAAAGAGTAGCATTTGGGACATGTTGAATTTGAAATGCCTACAAAACATGCAGCTCAAAATGTCCAATAGGCAGTGATGTGGTACTGGGTCTTGGGAGAAGGATGAGGGGTGGCTATAGAGATCTGAGAATCGTATGTGTAGAGATGGTAATTGAATCTTTTGGGATCTGTTGAGATCTCTGAGTTACTGAGAATAGAGGGAGGGGGGAGAGAAGAGAAAAGGGCCCAGGACAGAGCTTTGGGGACCTTCCATAGTTAATAGGCATGATGTGTATGAAGTTTCAATGAAAGACAACTGTACTGGAAAGGAGTGGTCTGAGAGGTAGGAGGAGAACCAATAAAGAGCCGTGGGGACGCAAAGCATATACAGTTTTTTCAAGGCCACATAGAGGTGTCAAACCACATGTGACCCACAGCACTCCTGAGTGTGGCCCAAACCGGATTAAAATGTAATTGGGAAATATTTGACAAAATAAATAAAAATACAATAAAACATAGATAATATTGCATTTTTAAACTGTCAGTAGACAGCCCACCAAGATCTTTATGTGCATACTGATGGCCTGTGTTTCTATTTCAGTTGGATGCCACTAATCTAGCCTAACCCCTTTGTTCTATAGGTGAGGAAACTAAGGCCATTTAGGGAGTTTAATTTTTCTGTTATTTTTATCAGAACCTCTTTCAGGGCCGGACTAACCTGACCTTTGCAGACAGGCTCAGAAACTATTATGCCTCAAGTCTGTATGGGGAGAACTTGGGGAAAACATTAAGGCTGCAATTTGGTCCCGCAGCTAAGCAGTATTTGCATGAGTCGTATATCCATGTCAGGAAGTTAGAGGAATCGTCTAAGTGGGTGAAAGAGGACTCCAGGCACGGCATGGTGTCACTGATTCAGCCAGAACTACCACTGTGATTTTGCCTCATGTTTGTTTTTGGTAATGCAGTCCCTTCCACCATTGTTGGAGTGTTTGCTGATCAAATGGCCTCAGTTGAATATTATCCAGCATTGAACAGAAACTATAGTTTGGCAATCTTCGGCTCCTTCACAACATCACATCCAGCCAATCGTTAAATTCTTGTGGTTCTGCCCTGTCAGTCACCCTGAGTTTCGTCCGCTTTCCATACCCCAGATCAGTGTAGTATATAATAGAGTGCTAGTCTTGGAGAGACCTGGGCTTGAATCCTACCTGTGGCATTTACTAGCTGTGCGGACCTAAAAGGAAGGAAGATAGGAAATAAACATATATTAAACCCCTACTATGTTAAACATTTTGTATTTTCTCATTTCATCCTCATAAGAAACCTGGGTGGTATTATTATCCTTATTTTACAGTTGAGAAAACTGAGGCAGACAGAGGTTAACTCACCTGCCCATAGCTGCATAGCTAGTAGTTATTTGAGACCAGATTTGAAATCAGGTCTTCCTGACTCCCGGCTCACCTGGATGCCTAGAGAAGAAGTGGAATAATGTTGGATTTGGAGGGAAAGGATAAAATAGGGAGTTTTTCATACCAATGAAATCACAGGTCAATCTATAAACATTTATGAAGTGCCTACTATGTGCTAAGTCTGAAGCCCACCCACTCCATACTTGTAGTACCTACCTCATGAGTTGTTCTGAGGCTTCACCATCCAATGGAGATAAATCGTTTACACTGCCTGTCTCAAAGGATTGTTACAAGGACAGTCTTTTGCAGACTTGGAAGTACTCTATAAACAAGGATTGCAGTTATTTAAAAAGAGAGCTGCAAACTCTGAAAGATGGTGAGAACTGACCCCAGAGACTGAAATGGTCTTCTTTGGTGACTAGTTGTGACCTCAGGCCTATTTTGTGAGCTGGCCTGACACCTTGAGATCTGCTTAGCTGCCTTGGATTAGCTTTTATGACCTTTCCTATTCCTCAGAGTTCTTCCCAAGGTAATAAGCGTTTAGTAGACACCTGATGACTCTTAACACTAGCTTCTCTGTGGATATTTGCCAGGACCTCTATCCAGGCTTTAGGCTCCAGTCAGGGTAGAGGAGTAACAAACTTGCTTTTGATTTCCAGAGATGTCTTTCCTGGACCTGAGTGTCTTCTCCATGGGGATGTGGTCTCTGGGGGCTGGAGCCCTGGGCGCAGCTGTTTTAAGCTTGATCCTGGCCAACACTGATCTGTTTCTGACCAAATCAGTAACAGCTACCCTAGAGTTTCTGGAAGACATAGAGCTGAAAACCCTGGATAATGGTGAGAATTAAGCCTTGGATAATTCAGGACTAATATTAGTTCTGGCCAGGAACCTCAGGTTCTTGGTTTTGTGAGCTCCTCTGATGGCCTGGGGACTGCTTCAGTGCCTCAGAACCGAGAAGTGAAGTATGAATTGAAAAACATTGAATATCTGTCTTTCTTTTCCAGAATCCCCAAAGACTTTCAAAGCCCGAGAACTCTGGGAGCACCATGGGGCAGTGATCATGGCAGTAAGAAGGCCAGGCTGTTTTTTGTGTCGGGAGGTATGTAGCTTTGCATCTGGGGCTTTTATTTGGGGAAAAGAACCATGGTATGTGAGAGACCTATGTACTTCACATGTCTGGAGCACTTTATTTGTAGCACTGTGGGTTTTAAAATGTTTTGTTATTTATTTATTTTGGGCATTCTTTTCTTTGTTAATTTTTAGTTCCAGATTCTCCCCTTCCCTCCTACTCTTTCCCTAACCATTGATGAGGCAAGCAATATGATGTCAATTATACATGTGAAATCGTGCAAAAACATTTTCATGTTAGCAGTATTTCTTTTTAAAAGCAAGAAAAATAAAGGGAGAAAATTATACTTCACTTTGCATTGAGAGTTGATCAGTTCTGTTTCTAGTAGTGGATAGCATTTTTTCATCAAGAGTTCCTTGGGGGAGCAGATAGGTGGTGCAATGGATAGAGCACCATTCCTGGAGTCAGGAAGACCTGGGTTCAAATCCGTTCTCAGACCAGATACTTGACACTTACTAGCTGTGTGACTCTGGGCAAGTCACTTAACCCAAATCGCCTTGCCATAAAAAAAAAAGTCCTTTGGAATGGTTTCAGATGATTTTATTGATCAGAATTGCCTTCTTTCACAACTGATCATCATTACAATATCATGTTGTTGTTGTTCAGTCATTTCAGTTGTGTCCGACTCTTCGTGACTCCATTTGAGGTTTTCTTGGCAAAGATACTAGAGAGGTTTGCCTTTTCTTCTCCAGCTCATTTTATAAATGAGGAAAGTGAGGCAAACAGGGTTAAGTGACCTGCCCAGGGTCACAGAACTAGTAAATGTCTGCGACCAGATTTGAACTCAAGTCTTTATGACTCCAGGTGTTGTACTCTAGCTACAACATCGTAGCATTGTGTTTTTGTGTTTTATCCTTTCTTATTGTTCACTGGTTATTCTGAGCAAATGTCTTATCTTTCTGAGCAAGACTCATTTATGTATTTGATAATGATATGTATATATCATTATATTTATTATATATAACAATAATCACTGAAATAGAATACTACATGATTTGTAAAGCACTTTATATACCTAGTCCGTTTGTTTTTCGCAACAACCCTATGAAGTAGGTGTCGCTATTATCCCCATTTTATTAATGAGGAAACTGAGACAGGCAGGGTTCAAGTGATTTGCCCAGGCTCACACAGTTAGTAAGTGTGGTCATGGCCTCAGGAGTCTCATAACCTTCTCAAGGATAGGCACTCTGCTTTATTTTTCTTTTCTACAGACCGGTTCCCTGTGCAGTACTGGGCACATAGTCAATACTTGTTGATTGGTTGATATGAACTCCATGGCTCTGAGTTCCTCCCTTGCCTCATCATCATCAATGATGTTCCCATAGCACTTTCCCCGCATTTTTGGAGAACTAGAATTGAGTAAGTGGTCAATGCCGCTTCTTAGGAAGAGGGAAGAGCTGATGTTCAGAACCACATTTCACAGAAGGGTGTGGTCCTGAACAAGCCGATCAGGGCCAATAGACACTGTTCATTTCACCTTTGCAAATGGGAATGTGGCTGTTTCTTTGTAGGGGTCATGGAAGGAACAGCCCTATGGAGTTCCTTGACTTAACAACCATTTTTACTTAGGCAGGTTACGGAGACAGGCCAAAAATGAAAGCTTGACATGTATAACCTATAAGGGATTGCCTGCTGTCTTGGGGAGGGGGAGGAAGAAAAATTTGGCACTCAAAATCTTATAAAAATGAATGTTGAAAATTATCTTTATGTGTAATTGTAAAAAATAAAATACTATTTTCCCCCCCAAAATGAAAGATAGAATCCCCTCTTAGATCACCATTCCATTAATCAGTTCAGCTCAGTAACCTCTATTAGAAAAGAAAGTTCAATATAGTGAATAAGGATATGGAACTTGCAGTCACAAAGACCTAGGTTCAAATTCCACCTCAGAAATTTACTAGCTGTGTGACCCTGGACATATCACTTAAATTTTATGTGACTCAGTTTCCTTATCTGTAAAAAAGGGGTTAGACTCAATGGCCTCTAAGTTCCCTTCCAGATCTAAATTTATGATCCTATGAGCCTATAACCTACTGAATGGCTAGTCTATGTTGAACCCTGGGGATATGACACAGTGGATAGAGCACTGGCCCTGGATTCAAATCCATCCTCAGACACTTACTAGCTGCGTGACCCTGGACAAGTCGCTTAACCCCAATTGCTTCCCAACCGCCTCTCACCCACCCCTCTCCCGACAAAATCCAACTGAACCCTCCTCAATGCTCTCTCCACTTTAGTCTGTCTTCCACACTGCCACCAGAGTAATTTTCTTAAACATGTCACCTTCTACTCAATGAACTCTAGTGGTCTCTAGAATCAAATACAAACTTCTCCATTTAGTTTTTAAAAGCTTTTCATAACCCAACTCCAACCTATCTTTATATGAAATATTTAACATTTTCTTCTACTTTTCCATCTTTTGACTTTCTTTTATTATTCCTTGATCTCTGATGGAGTCATGACCTTCCATTTGGCCAATTCTAATTTTCAAGGAGTGATTTTCTTCAGTGAGGTTTGGTATCTTTTACCAAGCTGTTAATTCTTTTTTGATAATTTTCTGGTATAGTTCTCATTTCTTTTCCCATTTTTCCACTAACACTCTTATTTGGATTGTAAAATCTTTTTTTTCATCTTTTTAAATCACTTTTTTAGACTTGTAAGAATTCTTGTTGGGCTTGTGTCCAATCTTCATTTTTCTTTATGCTTTGTTTGTAAATGCTTTTGAGACGTTGTCTTCTTTTGTGTTTGTGTCTTGAGCTTCCCTGGCACCTCAGTGACTATGGTCAGGTTCTTCTTTCTTCATTCTTCCAGCCTACTTCTTGACTTTGGGTTTTATGTTAGTGCTGGTCTTTGCACACTTCTGGGACTGATGTCTGGCCTGAGCTTCTGCCCTCTTATGTCCTTCTGCTACTTTCACATCTCAGTCTGAAGGCCTGCAAGTTTTCAATGCTTTCCAAGTGGTGTGATCCAGGGGAAGGTCTGTTCGCTGCCCTCCTGGTCTGAGCTCTGCAGGTTTCTGACCCTGATGTGGGTCTATTGGTTTCTGAGTGGTTGAGTCAGTCACTATTAGCCCTCTGGGAGATTTTGCAAGTGCCAAGCCACTGAACTAGTGACTACCCTTTGATCTTGGCCTCCTGCTCTGGTTATTCTACCACAGCCGTATGTGCAGGGTTAAAGGACTGAGTCACCACTCTCCTCCTGGGCCCAGAGCCACACAGGTGTGTTTCTAGAACTTGTGCCTTGCTATGTACACAGCTGGGGTCCCACGTGCTCACAACCACTCCTCTCTCTGCTGGATCTGTGGTTTAGAATTGGGTAATAAGCGACAGAAAGATACCAGATAGCACTCGTTCTTGCCCCCAGTGCTACTTGAAGGGTCCCCTGGGATCTCTCTCTGCTCCAGTGCTTCCTGCTCAGGTTGCAATGTCCTGGCCCCCTGTCCATCCTTAGATGCTGGAATGTTCCCTTCTAAGGCACTGCATTCATCCCTGGCCAGTCCCTGCTCCACCAGAAACAGACCTCTCTAGGTCTGTCTTCCTGAGCTGCCCCAAACTGAAAATGACTCATTGTAACCTCTTGCCTTTCTTCATCAGAATTTGCTCTGTCAGAATTCTAGGTAGCTGTGGAGATGCACTGGGTGAACTAGACAAAAATGGTTCTTCTCATTCTGCCTCTTGATTCTGGCCCCATCTTCCCACCTGTCTAGCTTCATTGTATATCGCTGCCTGTCTGGCACTTTGTGATCCAGTCAAAGGAGATTGGTCTCTTTTTCCCCTCACAGCAAATACTCCATCTTTGGTCTCTGCACTTTACACTGGCAGCTCTTGAGCCTGGAATGCACTCACTCCTCATCGCTACTTCACAGAATCCTTTTGTTCCTCCAGGACTAAGTCCAGTCATCATGCTCTACATGAATTCTCTTCCTGATTCCCTTAGCTGCTGATGTCCTCCCTCCCAAACAATCTTATTTTTTTTTAACTACTTCGCATTTATTCTCTTTACATTTATTTTGTGTACAATTCCATATGTCCTCAATGCTTTCCTATTGGAACTTAAGTTCCTTGTGAGCAAGGATGTTTCACTTACTGTATTTGGATCCCCAGCTCTTAGTTAAAAAAATACACACACACACACACACACACACACACACACACACACACGCGCGCACACACACACACACTCATTGATTGATTGATTGATTGATTGATTATCAGAGTTGGAAAGGAGCTCAAAGGCCATCTGGTCCAACTTGCTTCTGAGTAAGCATCCCCTCTAAAATACACCCAAAGAAGCCTTTGTTTGAAGACCTAGTGATTGGAAACTCGCTCTCATGCAAGGCAGCCTATACCACTTTGGATGGCTCTAACAGTTAGAAGTCTTGAGTCATTTCCAGTTTGGCACACTTTGTGTCCTAATTAGTAATAGTGAAAATGACAGTCATGTTTTTGTTTGCACACTCCTTGACCTAAAGGGATTTTCTTCATGGCTTTTTCAGTCTTGCCTGGGTCTCCTCCTTACCTCTCCTAGGTGGGCTAGACTGGGCTTTCTTGGCAAGACACAGGGTACCTCTGACTATAATAATGGGGCAACTCCCATTTATATTTGTTGGGTGTTGCTTCTAAATAGCAATGGCATTTTAGGAGCTTGTGCTGACCTAATTTCTTTCACTTTCAAAGTAGGGTGACCTACGAAGTTAGAAAAGAACTTCCAACATTAATTAAATGGTGGTATGTTATAAAAATTTTTGGTTTCCAGAAGGATGAGTGAAGAGGATATGTGTGTGTATATATAAAAGTTGCAGTTAAATTAATTAATAAAGAGACCCAGAGTAATAAGCAAGTCAAAGAGCATTTATTAAGCAGTATGTGCCAGGAATTGTGCTAAGCAATAGGAATATACAGTTATCTTTTCCACATCACGACTTTCCTTATTGCAGTTTTGATGTGTCAAGGATTGGCATAAGAAATTAAATGTGAGTTTGGGGGGGGGAGTTTTGTGGAAGCTACAGATGCCATGCAAAGGCCAGCAGACCACACAGCGCCTATGATCAAATACTTAACCCAAATTTTACAGTAAGGTACTGTAAATACTCCATAAAAGAAAAAGAAGAAAGTTCAGACTTCTTCTCTGGTATGAAGGGAGAGCCAAAAAATTTTATATGGATTTTCCAGATCATAGGAAGGGGAGGGGAGGATGCCCCTAATCCTTCCCCCCCCATCTCTCCACACCCACCTCCCATGTGGAAGAGAGAATTGTAAATATAAGCAAAAAGAAAAACAGTCCCTGCCATCAAGGCACTTACATTCTGATAGGGAAGACAACCCATGAAAGTAAAAGGGTGAGGGACATGATGGACAAATCTAGGGGAGTGAAATCTTGTGAAAAATGAAGAGATGGCTGCCCAGGGAACCCTCCATAAATGGAGATTCTGGGGAAGCCCTTCACCCTCTAATCAGAAGGAAAATGTATGTAGTATTAGTTCATCTAGTGTAGAGGGTAAAAGATGAATTCCTCTAAATGAGAGAAACCTTTCTGCTTCCCAGGCAAGACCCCAGTAAGGAAACAAGGAATTGATAAAGTTCACTATGTACCAAGCACTGTGAGACCTTTGTGGTGTGTGTGTGCCCTCTTTACTTGCCTAAATCTCTTGTTTAATCAAGTTATCGATAAATGTGTTTGAGGAAATGGTATTCTCATTAGGTTTTTCTTTTTAGATTTAGAAAGTAGTAAGCAAAAAATATTCATAATTCCTACTGAAGTAGAGTTGATATATTTCAAAATACTCCTGCCTTTTTTTAAAAAAAATTTATTTATTAATTTTTTTTCAACATTCACTTTTATAAGATTTTGAGTTCCAAATTTTTCCCCCTTCCTTCTTCCCTTCCCCCCTCCCCAAGTCGACATGCAATCTGATATAGGCTATACATGTACAATCATATTAAACACATTTCCACATTAGTCATGTTGTAAAAGAAGAGTCAGAACAAAAGGGAAAAACCAGGAGAAAGGAAAAAGAGAGAAAATAGTGTGCTTCGATCTGCATTCAGACTCCATAGTTCTTTCTCTGGTTGTGAATAGCATTTTCCATCATGACTCTTTTGGAATTGTCTTAGATCATTGCACTGCTGAGAAGAGTTAAATCTATCAAAGCAGATCATCGCCCAATGTTACTGTTACTGAAAACACCCCTGCCTTAATGCAAACACACTGTTTCGATTGCAGTAACTTTTTAAAAAGTTTTTTCCACATTGCTATCATTTCTCAGTCCTGCCCCCACACCAACAGAATCCTCCCTATGAACAAGGAAATAGTTAAGCCAAACAAAAGGACACATTGACTGTATCTGACAGCATATGCCTTATTCCTCATCTCTCTGCCGAGAGAAAAGTATGTTCTAGATTTACTGTATTTTCCTGCTGAGATGCCTGAGCTTTGTGCCACATGTGTCCTGATCATGACATGGTTATGGACCAATACTTTGCAATTTTTCTTTCTAAAAGAGAAGCTTTAGCATTGCATTTGCATATTAGAGGAAAGGGTCTGCATATTTCATGACTGATAATAGATGAGCCCATCTCTCCAAGCATGCAGCTTCTCTCCAATTTGGGTGGAAATTCATTCGTTCAACAAATAACTACTGAGTTCTTACTGTGTGCATAGTGCTGTAAGAAAACTATCTGTAGGCTCTCCAAGTCTCAGTTAGAAAGGACCTAAGGAGTATTCTAATATTCCTTGATTTGTCCAACAAGAATTCCCTCCATTAAGTGATCATCCAGCCTTTTCTTGAAGACTTCCAATGAAGGGGAGCTCATTACCTACAAAGGCAGTCCATTCTACTTTTTATCTATTTGACTCATTCTGAAGTTCTAGGCTATCTAAGTGTTTTTGGATCCTGACTCTATCATCTAGTATATTAGCTATCACCTCCCATCTTTGTGTAGACAGAATAGTTTATAAGCAGTTGACACGGTGACTTGCCCTTGTTGTTCAGACGTTTCAGTTGTATCCAACTCTTTGTGACCCCTCTTGGGGTTTTCTTGGCAAAGATACTAAAGTGGTTTACCATTTCCTTCTCCAGCTCCCTTTATAGGTGTGGAAACTGAGGCAAACAGAGTTAAGTGACCTGACCAGGGTAACACAGCTGGTGTCTGAGGCCAGATTTGAATTCAGAAAGATGAGCCCAGGGCTCTATTGTGCCATCTAGCTGCTCCTACAGAGCTCAAAAGCCAGTTAAGGAGATAAGACGTACACTTGTATAAAATTTAAAAATAGCACAAAATAAATAACATTATAAAATGTTAAGGGGCAGTTAGGTGGCGCAGTGGATAGAGCACCAATTCTGAAGTCAGGAGGACATGACTTCAAATCCGACCTCAGACCAAACACTTACTAGCTACGTGATCCTGGGCAAGTCACTTAACCCCAATTGCCTAAAAATAAAATAAAATAAGATAAAATGTTATAAAAGAGATATCACAAGGCATTAAGTGTCGAATAAGTGGTTTGTATAATGAGCTCAAAGGCCAGAGGGACCTGGACTTGGCCAGTACTCAGTAAATGTTTGTTGTATTGAATTCAATTCCTGTGGACAGAATGGTCAGGAAAGGCCATGTGTGGAGATGGGAATTCTTGCTGGATACTAAAGAGTAGCTAGGGTTGAAGTTGAAAGGAAAGGAGAAGAGGAAAGGCATTCCATGTGAAGAGAAAAGGCAAAATGGTGAGACTTTGCAAGGCATTGCCCTTTTGAAGGACAAATAGTGGACTGATCTGGCTGGAGTGATATGTTCTTTTGTTGTTTTTTTTTTTTTGCTGAGGCAGTTGGGGTTTAGTCACTTGCCTAGGGTCACATAGCTAGTATGTGTCAGAGGCAACATGGCCTGGTGGCAATAGAATTGCCTTTTTGCATCAAGGAGACTGGCTCTGTATAATAATATAAAAGTTATAAAAAGCAATCATTTCTTCCACCTGCCCAATAATCTACCAAACATTAAAAACAAAAGAATGATAGTAGGATATGGACCTGTCTCAGGACTGTTTCTATTGGAATTCCATTGAATAACAGATGAGAATGAGAGGAATCACAGCAGCTCACTTTTCTATGAGGCTTTAAAGTTTACTTTGTGTGCATTATCTTATTTGATCCTTACAGTTCTGAGAGGTGGGTGCTATTCTTATATCTGTTTTCCAGATGAGGAAACTGAAGCTTCCCCTAATAGACCATCAGTTCCTTTCGTTCTTGTGTTTGTATCCCAAATTTTTAAATTGTACCAATGAAGGCATTTGCCTGTTAGGGCAACAATATATTCCATGTACTTTCTTGAGGCATCCAAATCAGATAAGGTCACCCTATAAAACAAGTTTCTTATTTGTTGGTTATTGTTAACTGAATAATATTACAAAATGTCAGTGAGCTGTTGTTTGGCAGTAAAAAGAAGACAGACCATCTTTGTCCTCTCAGTTCCAGTGACAATTGGTACTTTCAGCCCTGGTCTCCCTCAGGAGGTGACATCTTTGGATTTTGGGACTGAGTGGGGTTTTTATGCTTACTTTGAAGAATTAAGACAAGATTGTGACCTCTTTTATCAATGAGGAAGAAAATTGTTAGGGCGTGTGTGTGTGTGTGTGTGTGTGTGTGTGTGTGTGTGTCTATTAACCTATCTTTCTTTCTCTCTCTCTTAGGAGGCAGCTGAACTATCTACTCTCAAACCACAGCTAGACCAGTTGGGGGTCCCACTCTATGCTGTGGTGAAAGAGAAGATTGGGTCAGAGGTAGAGGATTTCCAGCCATATTTCAAAGGAAAGATCTTTCTGGATGAAAGGGTATGTCTGTTGCAAAACTTCTCCTAATGCTGTGTTTGTTCACAGTGCCAAATTAGAGTTGGCTCTTTGCTCGGTTGAATTTCTGGGGGTAGCTTGAACAGTGAACTGCCAAGCTTCGACGGACTTGGCCTGAAGTTGGCCTTGTGGAAATGGATTATTTGAACAGCACTATATTAACTCAGTTAGTTAAAGAAAGCCTTGAATTTCTCTATGGATTGTATTGAGTTCCTTTGAAAGCCCAGTGGCTTTCCTGCTTGCCATATTCTCACACGATTATCTTTTTCATGCACCTTGGATACCATAATTAGGGAATTATAGGAACTTTCTTCTTGCTTATTGCTTAAATACTTCTTGAAATGGAGTTCTGTGAGCCTGACCCATCGCTAAAGCCAAGAAGGGCTAATTCATTCTATGATGGAATACAGTGAAACTTTCACAAGGAAGTAGACTTAAGGGGAAGGTGGAAGTGACTCATTCCTCTCCTTTTTGTTCACCACCTGTCATGACCTGCTCATGGTTAGCTTAAAGAGAAATGATGATGATGATGATGATGATGAAGATGATGATGATGATGATGATAATGATGGCTAACATTTATATAGCACTTACTAGGTGCCAGGCACTGTGCTCAATTTTTACAAATTATTATCTTATTTGATTTTCACAACAACCCTGTGAGGTAGATGCTATTATTATCCCTATTTTACAGATGAGGCAAATTTTTTTCCTACCTCCTATTGTACCCAGTTGATCACAACAAAAACTAAAAGATTGCCACCATCCAGCTGGGAACAAGAATATTTTAGGCTGCAAGTGTGTTTTCTTCCACTAAGTTCTTTCTCCTATAGCTACTCATTGTGTGGATATAATACTCATAATCATAATAACTAACGTTTATATAGTGGTTACCAGGTGCCAGGCACTGTGTTAAGTGCATTACAATTATTATCTCATTTGATCTTCACAGTAACCCTGGGAGGTAGGTACCATTATTATCCCCATTTTACAGATGCAGAAACTGAGGCAGACAGAGATTAAGTGATTTTCCCAGGATCACACAGCTAGTAAGTGTCTGAGGCTGGCAAGATTAGACTCCATTCTTCCTGATTTCATGTCCAGCACTCTATCCACTTTGCCACATAACTGCCTTGAAGACCCCAGTATTCTAAAAGCTCTGTCAGGAGATTGTAAGCTCTGGCAAGCCTTCTCAGGCTACAAAGGCTGTCCAGGCACCAGCTTAGCTAAGTTTAGATCATAGGATCATTGATTTAGAGCCATAAGGAAACTTAGAAACCAAAAAAGAAAAGCCCAAACCTCTCATTTTTACAAATGAAACCCCAAAAAGTTAAGTGACTGGCCCAAGGTCACACAGATAGTAAGTGTCAGAGGTAGATTTAAACCTAGGTCTTCATACCACAAAACCAGTGATCTTCCTGTTGTATCATTTGGGAGATTAATTTTTCAACCACAGAAGCTCTCAAAAATAGTTAACTAGGCTCAGATTTTTAAGATCTTTAAGATCTAGACACATGCTCAGATTCTTAAGATCTGACCCTCTTGCATTAGCGATACAAATGCTTAGATACCTTAAGAGTCTGCCCAATATGACAGCTATTCTAATAAACCTTGTCTTTGGCTGGAAAAAAAAAAGTAGTTAACTAAGTCATAGAGATGTTGTGAGTAGAGTCCATGGATGTATCCTGTCCTCCCCTGAGCTACCCACACAATAGCATAAAAACTTAAAAGGTCCAAGTATAAATATTCAGCTAGGATGTGGGCTGAGAGCTACGTGTACATTCTCACTAGGCCTTTACCCTCTTACTTTCAATGAGAGAATTCAGCTTAATTCTTTGGATTTTGTGTTAGTTTGGGGTATTATTACACACAAAACTTTCCCACATGCCAGCAGCTAGACATGATGTTTTCCCCTGTAGGAAGTAAGTACTTCTGACACCCTTCCTCTTCTGAAGAGGTGAGGGCAGACTGGGGAGAGAGGGGAAGGAACAAAGACATGGGCATCAATAACTCCACATCTTTCTCTTTTCTGCAGAAAAAGTTTTATGGTCCTCAGAAGCGGAAGATGATGTATATGGGATTCCTTCGTCTGGGGGTGTGGCAGAACTTTTTCCGGGCCAGGAGTAAGGGCTTCTCTGGTAACCTGGAAGGAGAAGGGTTCATCCTTGGAGGTGTTTATGTGATTGGGCCAGGCAAACAGGTAGAATGTGTGTTTGTGTGTGTGTGTGTGTCTTTGTGTATCTGAGTTTACATGTTGTCTTGTTCTTTTTCCTTGAGAAGCTCCCTGTTTCCTTTTGTCACACTTCCCATTTCCTCTGAGCTCAGAAGTCACATCTACATCCCATTATCCGGGAAAGATAAGCTAGGAATCTTCCACAACTCCTCAGGCTCATAGTTGCCCCTGATATTCGCAGAGCACTCAAAGGTTCACAAAGAGCTTACACGTCTAGCTTAGAGAATAAAGGTACTGTTTGGCTGAGGCGACAAGATAAAGGCCCTTTCCTTTGCCTGCCATCTCTGTTCACCTAGATTTAGCTCTAAGGGGGAGCCGGCCATCTCTGTAGGAGGTTGGGCTCCCCATTCTCACATTCGTTAGTCCCTCATCATCCCAGTTACTCCAGAAAGAATTCTATTTTGGGTTCTGGGGGAGCATTTTCCTCAAAAGGTGAATAATTTCAAAAGGCATGCTTTGTACAAATGTGAATCAAGTGTGGGATAGGTACTTTATTCCTACCCAGAGAGATAAGAATAAGATAAGGATGAGAGGATCAGAGCATGAATGCATCAACACAGCAATTTAAACAGGATTCTCAAGCTCAACTTATAGCCAGGCTACAGTCTGCCTGGAGGCTGGTAATAAGTCTCAATAAGACTTAGTACAGTGTGGCAGTTCTGCTAATTTGCCATTTCACATTTCATTTCTGCCCTGGGCATTGTCCACTCGATAGCCAGCCTTGATCGCCTTTCTGCCGGCTTCTCTGTGATGCCATCCCTTCCCTTGGCACCAACCTGCTTCTGTCACTGCTTAGGTGCTCTCTCCTAGGGGTGGTCAAGTACAACCACCGCCCCCTGCTATCACTTTCCCTGCCATTGCAGGCCTTTTTACATTCTCACAAGGCCCTGAACCAGAATAAAGAAGACACAGAAAGGAAAGCAGCCCCATCTGAGGCACCAGCTTGCTTATGGCTTGTGTCTAAGCTATGAGAGTGGGGGAGGGGACCCTGCAAGCAGCCTAGAAAGTCATCATCATGTTTTGAAGACAGAAGGAAAAGAGAAAGTGAGAGGCAAGGAAATAATTTAGTGTAATCATATAGTCCTTACTCAGTAGCCAATCAGAGGACTCGGCCCAGCAACAAACGATACATACGCGACAGCTGGTCCCTAGCTGGTCAACCAGGATGGCAGCTGCTTATGCTGCGGGGAGAGGAGAAGCACCCTCAAGGGCATCTCCTATGTATGCATCCTCATTTGGTCTTCCCAACAATGCTGAGAGATTGGCAAGATAAATACTAAGGTATGTGTTATGATTATTTCTCCCATATTTTTCACTTGTTTCAGTCACGTCTGACTCTTCGTAACCCCTTTCAGGGTTTTCTTGGCAAAGATACTGGAGTGCTTTGCATTTCCTTCTCCAGCTCATTTTACAGATGAGGAAACTGAGGCAAACAGGGTTAAGTGACTTGCCCAGGGTCACACAGCTGGTAAGTGTCTGGGGCCAGATTTGAACTCAGGAAAAGGAGTCTTTCTGACTTCAAGCCTAGTGCTCTATGCACTGTGCTGCCCCATGTTATAGAGGAGGAAATGTAACTAATATCCTCACAGAGAGTAGAAGCAGGAAAGGCGGGATTTGAACCCAGATCTCTTCTAGACTCCAAGTCTAGGAGTTTGTACCCTATTGTACTCACTCCATATCCCCTTATAACACGAGAAGCATTCATTTGAGTGACTGTAGACATGTTTTCAGTCACTGAAAGTCTTGGGCTCTAGAAACAAAGCACTAAGTTTCCCTTCTGCCAGATGATGCATTTGTCTCCCTATATGCATCTCCCTTCCTTAGAGAAGATCAAGTTTGTTCCTGACTGCCCCTTATTTCTTTTGGGGCAGCTCTGAATATCTAGCCATCTCTGCATTAATGCCTGTAATAGCAATAGTAGTAGTACTAGCAGCAGCAACAACAGCAGTAACTTCTATGTACATGTTTTCAAGGCAACAAGGTGGCTCAGTGGGTAGAATACAAGGCCTGGAGGCAGGAAGGCTTATCTTCCTGAGTTCCAATCTGGCCTCAGACACTTCCTAGCTGTGTTACTCTGGGCAAGTCACTTAATTCTCTTTGCCTCGGTTTCTTCATCTGTAAAGTGAGCTGATGGCAAACGACTGCAGTGTCTTTGCCAAGAAAATCCCAAATGGGGCTATGAAGAGCAGGACAAGACTGAAACAAGTGAACAGCAAAAGGAGCAGCAGCAATAACTCTCATGTACGTGTTTTAAAGTTTACAAAGGATTTTTCTCACCGTTGTCCTGTCGGGTAGGTATTAAAAATATCGTCTCCATTTTGCAAAGAGGAAACAGAGGCATGTTTGTGGATTTCAGGCTGAGGAAACAGTCTAGTCCAGCCTGCTCATTTGGAGGCCGCTTCTCCCCATCTCACCTAGGCTGGACGTCCGAATGGGTTGGCCTGGAAACTTTGCACTCTACGTCCGATCTGTGCCAGTTCACCTCTCTTTAGACAGCCTAGCATTCCCCACCCCCCAATGTTCCCCCACTCCTAGGGGCTCGCCGTATTAGTGCCAGACAGCTCAGGCACCCGATTGGCTTTAGCCCTGTTGCAGCTCAGAACCAGTAAGCTCAAGTGATTCCCCCAGCCTCAGTCCTCCATCCTAGCAGGGATGACGGGTGGGCACTCTTACACCTGGTTTCTCGGCCCCACCTTTACCCCCTTATTTTATAGAAGAAAAAAACTGAAGGCCAATCATAATGTTAGTGAATGAATGAATGAATGATAAAGCATTTATTAATTTATTAGGGTTTTACTATGCTGCCCCTCAATTATTTTGTGACTTATTTTAAAGGTATGTAAAGGATCTAAGAGCCCCAAACTGCATACCTGATAGAGTGTTCATTTATACTCTGCCTTCCTCCCCTCCCCCCCCCACCCCCAGCCTCTGCCACTGCCTTTCCCTAAAGCTAGCTGTAAGAATCCAGGCTTAGTCACCAGGAATCGAACCTTCAGAATAGCCTCCTCCTAACTATCTTTGCTTTTCTCAAATCTTTCAAAGACAGCTTTGGCTTTTACCTGCAGCTAGTTCAGCTTTGCCCAAAGATGGGCTGATCCTTCCTCTAAATTCGTATCACTGTTAATCAGAACTTCCAGGACTGATAATTAAATAGGACCCCAAATCCTTCCTGCTGGAGGTACTAACTTAATTGTAACCTTTACTTTGTTGTTTTTTTTCTTACTTGACTTTCTCAAAGCCTCCTTACTCTTCAATCCAACTTGGCAAAGTTTCATTAAACACTTATTATGTGGAAGGCTCTTTTCTAGGGGATGAAGACACAAAGAACCAAAATGAAATTATCCCCGCCTTTGAAGGTACTTAATTCTACCAAGGAACATAATGTGTACCCTGACAAATAAATAGAAAATATAGACAAAGTGGTCTTAAGGAAAGTGTGCCAACCACAGGGGAACAGGAAAAAACTTTACGTAGGCTGTAGTACTTGAAAACATGGTTTTAAAGGAAGCTGGGGAGTCTCTGTGGCAGAGGTGAAGAGGGAGGGAAATCCAAGCACTGAAGAACTGTTTTTCTGGAGTGATGAGTGTGTCAAGAGGAATATCCTAAATAAGACTAGAAAGGTGGGTGGGGAGCCAGAGAGTGGCAACATTTGAAAGCCAGGCTGATGATTTTTTTTCAATGCATCATCCTAGAGTCCATAGGGAGCTATTGCAAGTTTCTGAATGGGAGTGCTGACCAGATCCGTATTCTAGGAATAACAATTTGGCAGCTTCATTCTCTGGTTAATTGATCTTACTGAGTACCAGGAAGTCCTCAGCAGTATAGCCTGTTGGAAAGAGCATAGGAGACTTTGCTTTCAATCCTGGTCTTCCCAACTAATTAATTGGGAACTTTTGAACAAATCACTGCACCTCTGTGTAGATAATTTTCCTAATTTGTCTGGTGGGATAATACTATCTTTGTTACCTCACATGGTTCTTCTGCTGAAACAATTGCTCTGAAAACACAAAATACTATGTGCATTCTTAATTGTTCCCCTCTCCAATGTTTTAAATAGATGACACTGAAGAGAAGATTACTTGCTTATTTTTCATTGATAATATATATAAATGAGGCATCCCTCATGAGAAAAGGGTCATTAACTAATAATAATAAAGAGTAAGATTTATATGACATTTTACATCTATTATCTCATGTTACATTCAGAACAACTGTGGGAGCTAAGCACTATTATTCCCATTTTACAGATGAGGAAACTGAGGCTGGGAGTTCAGAAACTTGCCCAGAATTGCACAGCTAGTAAGTGTCTGAAGATAGGATACTGAGGTCTTACCCACTACAGGTCCGATAGTATCCGTTGTGCCACCTAACTGCCTCTAAGGCTAGCAAGGAGGCTAACCTGAGTGCTAATTCTGTATCTGCTACTAACTTACTCTCTTATTTAATTCTACCTGTGAATGATGGGCCTGGAGAGATTTCCAAGGTTCCTTACTGCTCAAACATTCTAAGATGCTGTTTTCCTCCACCCTTATTGACAGCCCTTGGGCCAAGGTTTGGCCAACGTGCTGGATTTTGCCTCCTCGTGACTCCCTGGGTACTCATTCCTACCAGGAAGGTTCGGCTCCAGGAGATCGTGGGTGGCACACCCACCTTCATCCCTGGAGGATGTGTTATTCATGCAAAAGCTACTGTTTTCTCTCCTTTACCCACAAGTCAGGCTGCTGAGAATTTTGTTTGACTCTGCTCTTACAAAAGTCCCCACCCTGTCTCCTTAGAGATGGGGGCTGGATGTGGAGTTGGCTCTGCTGGCGGAGACCCAGACACTGCCTTCAGATGCCTTAGCAATAATTATAGTATTTATAAAGCCCTTTCTTTACATTTACAAAGCCCTGTCTAATAATCATGCATTTTTGTCATTATTGTCCCCATCCTGCTGATGAGGAAGTGGGCTTAGGGAGATGATATAACTTCCAAAGTCATACAAATAGTAATTACTACCATCACTACCACCACCACTACTATTACCGCTACTACGACTACCATCACCATTACCACTACTACTATTGCTATCACTACTACTTCTACCACTACTACCACTAGTGCTATCACTACTTCAGCCACTACTACTTTTACCATTACCACCACCACCACCACTGCCACTACTACTACTACTACTACTACTACTACTACTACTACTACTACTACTACTACTACTACCACCACCACTTCTAGCATTTATATAGCAATGTAAAGTTTGCAGTGTACTTTACAAAAATCTCATTTTATCCTCACAACAATCCTGGGAAGTAAGTACTATTATTACCCTCATTTTACGGATGGGGAAACTGAGACTGAGAGAAGTTAAGTGAGTTGCCCAAGGTCACACAGCTAAGTAAATATATGAAACTGGATTTGAACTCGGTTTTCCTGTCTCCAAGTCCAGCACTCCACGCACTATAGCACCACCTAGCAGTGTCAGTGTTGCTGTTATAGCATTTAGAGTTCTATAACTATTCAACAAGTGTTTCTTGACAATGCGTTTTCTCTTCTTTCCCTTCTTTACTTTGACATGTGAACTGATTTCACTGCTCCTTTCTGATGTCCTTTGGGCAGTGCAGCCAGCTCACTTCTTTCCTGAAGGGCAAAGGAATTGAGTCTGCTTTTTGCTCTGACTCTTGTTCACTTTTTCAGGAGGGCCTGTCATGAGAGGACGTGGCTCCCATTGAGAAAGTCGATTTCTTAATCATCAAAGTCATGATCAGACAGGCAGTTGTCTCTTAACAAAATTATGCCAAAGGTAGCCCCATGTTGTTTTGTTTTGTTTTGGTGTCCATCCTTTAAAGTGTTTTCTTTTGTGAAAATGGAAAGTTTTTCCGTTGCTACCAAGACAGAAATTTTCAAAATTAGATTTCTAGGGGTGATTTTAGAACACCACAGACATTTCTCCACCTCCTCCTCCTCCTCCTCCTCCTCCTCCTCTTCTTCTTCCAAACTAATTTTCCCATACAAAATGTTTTCTTTGCCTATTAATTTCCTTTCTTTCAGCACCCTGGACAACTTAATAAAACATATTTTAGTCAAACACCTTTAAATAAATAAAAAGCGTTTTTTAATTAAAAAAAAAAGAATCTCTACAAATCCTGTTACCTATGGAGCCCAACAACAGGCCTAGGTCATACTTTTGGGTTTTACATGAAAGTGATTTTCTGATCTCCGCCTCTACTCTATTGAACCCTCCACTGCAACAAAGGAAAATAAACAAATCAATGTATGCAATAATTGCGACAGCGTATGCAACATTTGGTGTTTAGCACCATTCCGGTAGCCATTCAACAAGAAGGCATTATGTGCCTGCCCTGTGCTAGGTGCTGAGAAGAAGGGAACAACGTTCATTGCCAAGCAGTCTCTTGATTGCCAAACTGGGTGGCTCTTTCTCAGTCCTCTTCCTCCTTGGCCTGTCCGCTGCATCTGACAGCTGCTCGCCCTCTCATAGGTTTTCAGGGTTCTCTCCCAGCTCTCATCCTATCCACCTGCGTATTTCTTTTCCTCTTTTTCTCTTGTTGGATCATCCTGATCATGACTCCTAACCATTGGTATTCCCCAAACCTCTGTCCCAGACATACATTCTCTCAATCAACTCATCCATTGCCACAAGCTTAATTATCCTCTCTGTAAAGATGACTGCCAGACCTATATATGAAGCCTCAGTTTCTTCCCTCATTTTCCAGTTCCATATCACCCACTTGCTATTAGACATTTCAGACTAGGTAGCCCACAACACCTGAAACTCAGCCTGTCTAAAACAAACTCATTGACTTTCCCCCCAAAGTTCCCTCTCTTTTAAAAGCCCCTGTGTTTGTCAAAGGCACCACCTTTCTCACAGTCTCTTAGGTTTGTAACCTCAGTGTTATCCTCAGTCCTTCATTCTCCCTTATTCCACATCTTGGGAAATCCTGCCATTTCTAATGCTACGTGATCACTCACATCTGACCCCATCTCTCTACCCATGTTGCTCCCACCTTGGTCCAGGCTTTCGTCACCTCTCACCTAGACTGTTAAAATGTGTAGTATTTAGTTTCCCTGCTTCAAGTCTCTCTCCTACCTAGTCCATCCACCCCATACAGTTGCTTAAGTGACTTTTTTAAAGGGCAGATCTGACCGTGTACACTCCCCTACTCAATAAACTTTCTTTTGCTTCTAGGATCAAATTTAAACTCTTCTGTTTGCCTTTTAGAGCCCTTCACAATCTGGCCCTAACCTGTCTCTTTAGCATCATTCTCTGGTTCCCATATTCTACGGTCCAGTCAAATTGGTTTTCTTTTCTTTTCCCTTTTTTTGTGGTAAATTTAATATTTTATTTTTCCCCAATTACATTCGAATTGGCTTTCTGTCTGTTCTTCGCCTAGAGAAATAGATCCCTTGTCTTTGTGCCCTTGCATTGGCCTTTTCTCATACTGAATGCACTCCAGTCTCACCTCCATCTCATAGAATACCTCTCTTCCTTCTAGATAAAGCTCAAGTACCATCTTCTACATAAAGGCTTTCATGATGCCTTTAATCACTGGTCCTCCCTTCCTTTAACCATCTTATATTTATGGTGCTTTTATTTTATGTGAACATATATGTATACTGATGTGTACACATATATATGTGTGTGTGTGTGTGTGTGTATGTGTGTGTATGTATATGTGTGTGTATTGTCTCCCCTTATAGAATGTAAATTCCTTCAGAGTAAAGGTTCCGCAGCTCCAAAGGACTCATGATGAAATATGCTATCCACCTCCAGAAACAGAGCTGATAGACTCAGAGTACAGACTAAAGCATATTTTCTCCTATTTCTTGCTTTTTTTCCCCCCTATAATATGGTCCATGTGGAAATTTGTTTTGTATGTCTATACATATTGTAATACATTTTATTTATCTTTACTCTTCAATGGGGGGGAACAGAAGGGGGAAAGTGTTAGAAATGGAAATTAAAATAAAACTGAATTTTTAAAAACAGAGGGGATTGTTTCTTTTCTCTTTTTTTTTTTTTTGGAATTATATCCCCAACGCTTTGCATAGTACCTGAGATTAAGATTTGACATTACAATTAATTAGTTTAGTTTCATTTGAGAATTACTTTCCTCTATTTACTGTAGTGATTTTGTATATTATACTTGTTCTGCTTGACTTTAAATTTGTTCGTACAAGTCTTGCCATGTTTCTCTGAATAACGATCATTTCTTAGAATAGAAGTCCAATTGAGGACTTCCTTCTATGCATCTGCACTTCATATTTCTTCTAGAAAGAGGCCCCACCTGGCCTCTTTCTTGGATTCTAGATTTTTATTTTGACTGAATAATTAGAACTCAAAACAAAATCAACTTTTTTCCCCTTTCCATACATATTTCAAAATTTGTTCAACCATCTATCTCGCAATCAATAGATTTACAGTTTGTTGTCAGTTTTTTACCATAATGAAAAGTGCTGCTGCGAATATTTTTGTTGTGTCTGAGGCCTTTCTTTCCGCCTTTGATCTCCTTTTTCAGGGTGTGTACCTGGTAGTGCTAGGATTTGTTCGGGGAAGTTTGGATTCAGTCAAAGGGCCGTACTTGAGGACCTAGAAGGCCACATGTGAGGCCACAGGTTCCCCACCTCTGGCAGCCCCTTCTTGCCTCTGCTCTTCCCCTTCCCCTCTCCCATCTACAAGAAGGAAGAATTAACATTGTCTCACTTTTTTGTCAGGGCATTCTCCTAGAGCACCGAGAGAAAGAGTTTGGAGATAAAGTCGACCCTGCCTCTGTTCTGGAAGCTGCCAAAAAGATAAAGCCACATACTTCAGCCTCGGAGGAAAAATGATCAAATGTAGCAACTGACCTCGGGGGAAAAACTAGGAAGATGAGACTGTTATTATGTGACATCGGCTTCACAAGTCCCACAGAGGACTTTCTTATTTATCTACATCTGCATTATGTATCTCTCCTAGGGATGAAACCCCATCTGGCCTCATTCTTAGATTCTGGGATTTTTGTTTTGGCTGAACAATTAGAATTCAAAACAAGATCGGTTTTTTTCTTTTTCTTTTTTCTTCTTTTCTGTTCTCTCTCTCTCACTTTCTTTTTTCCTGCCCTAAGCAGGTTACTCAGTGCTTTTTCACTGAGGACTGAGAGAAGTGTGAGGTTTGCCTTTCTGGGCTATTCATCACAGCTCACTTCACTCACATTTGAAGCACCTTGGAAATTTGCAAAGTGCTTCTCTCTCAATGCCCTGGTAAAGCAAGCAGTGTAAGGATTTGATATAAGAGAAGACAGAGGTGGAGGTTAAGTGACTTGCCCTGGATCTAATAGCCCCCAAAAGAGTCAGGATAGAATGAAAAGAGCATTGAATTCAGCCTCAAGAGTCCTTGGTTTGAATCCTGGCCCTGACATCTATCAGCTCTTTGGCAAGCCGCTTAACCTCTATGAGACTTAGTTTCCTAATTTGTTTATGGTATTTAGTGAGGATAATAATAGATATGGCAACATGAATACAGTGCTGCATTGTTAACAAAGACCAGTGTTCAAATCTTGCCTCTGATACTGTGTGATGATTCATAAATAACAACTCGTCTGAGCCTCAGTTTCCACGTCTATTAGAAGATAATGATGCCTATATGACAGGCAACATGACATCATGGATAAAAAGGTGGCCCCAGAGTCAGGAATGAATGAATGAATGGATAGATGAATGAATGAGCATTCATTTGGAGCTTACTATGTGCCAGCCACTATGCTAAATAGGGGAAATACAAAGAGAAAGAGTGAGACAATCCTTGCTCTCCAGGAAATAAAACACCTAAGAAAGCATGGCTGGAGGGCCTAAGATTAAAGCTGAGGGTAAGATGGTGAGATCATGGAGTCCCGTGGTTACAGCGATAGGTCACATGACAGGGTTGGGGGTCTGCAGGGAGTAGCAGCAGGAAGACCTGGGTTCCAGAACTGCTTCCAGCACCCAGTGGCTATAGGACCCTAGGCAAGTCACTTAACCTTTTGGTGCCCCCAAGCAACTCTTTGATACTATATATTATCAAGAATGGATAAATCTCCATTTGGGGAGATGGCTGCTCACTAGGAGCCCCCTACACTGATGAAATCAAGAATCTGGTTTAAAAAAAACCCTCTAGTACCAATTTCAAAGGAGAAAATGCATGTGAGCTGCTCTGGAAACCATAAAGCACTGTGTGAATGCCAGCTGTTCTCACTACCTATTCCACAGATTTGTTGCCTTATAATCCTTTAAGCTCTATATAAATGTGAATTACTATTCATTGGAACTGGGACTTGAACCTAGGTCCTCTGATACCAAATCCAGTGCTCATTCCACTATGTCATGTTGCCTTTCTGATGTGTTTGATTTTTGGAGTGATATTCTTGGACATAATTCATGTGGAAGACTTTTCCTGGCTTTTTCTTTTTAAACTTCTTCACATGCCCTGCGAGCTTGGTGCATTTCACCTTAAAGCTGGAAGATTGGGATTTTTAATTGTGCATGTGGGGTATTGTGGGCTCCCCAGGTATGGACTGTGTGTGTCTATCCATATGAGGACTTGCCCAGCCAAATTTGGAGGGGCCCATGAAACAACCTGCTGAGTTGTGGAGAAAATGCAGTCTGCACTGCTGAAATAATGAATCTTTGTGTATGAGTGTGTGGTTATGATTTTATATAAATAGAGATATTCCTTGTTTTATGGAACAGAAGTGTACCAGCAAAACTGGCTTTCTCCCACTATATCTTCTGACCCCATTGCTTTTTAACATATCATTAGAAGCTTGTCCTACTGGAAAATGTTTTGGTACCTGGCTAAAATAAAATCATGCTTAAGAAAACAGTAGGTTTTTGTGTATTTTTGGAAAGTAAAAAACTTTCTCACAAAACATTAATAGAAAAAAATAGTGTGTGGACTCCCCAAGAAGTCACTATCAAAAATATCAAAAGTGAAAATAGTACTATGTTGATCAGATGCTCCAACAGTCCATTGGAGAAGTTGGAAGCCCTCACTTGGGTCTAATCCATCAAATGGTGTGGTGAATAACAGCAGTGCTTGACACAATGCCTAGCACATGGTAGGTGTTTAATAAATGCTTCTAGACTTGACCTGCCCTAATGACCTCAATTCAATATATTTGAACGAATATTTATTGAGCACCAGCTCTGAACTTATAACGTGCTCGGTGCGATAGGTTGATGTCAATGTGAGTCAAACACAGCCTTTGTCCTCAAGGTGTTTCTTGTTGAGGAAGAGATTTAGAGAAGGACCCAGCTAACTATGAAATAAGGATGTGTGATCAGAATTACAAAATCCCCCGGTGGTTAAGAGGAGGGGAGTCTTTGGATCATAGATTTAGAGCTGAAAGGGACGTCTGAGGAAATCAAGTACATCCCTGTCATTTGTCTGATAAACTGGGGGTCAGAGAAGTGACTCACCCAAGGTCACAGCTAATAAGCGAAAGAGAGAGGATTTGAACGTACATAGGTCCTCTTTCCGCTGTACCAGGCTGCTAAAATCCAGAAAGGCTTAATGAGGAAGAAGACATTTCTAGAACTAGAGTCTCAGAATGGAAGGGACCTTGTGGGGCCTAATCCATTTCTGTGCCTGATGCATGAATCATTTCCATACCTTCCCCAACAAGCCATTGTCCAGCTTTTACTTAAATATCTCTAGTGGTAGAGAATTCTTGACTTCCTGAGGCACCCCATTCCATTTTTAGACCGTTCTAATGGTTAGAATGGCCTTCTATATGAAGCTGAAAACAATCTTCTCCATAACTTCCACCTATTAGGCCTGGTTTTTCATTCTGGAACTTCTCAGAACAAGTTTAGACTCTTCCTAAGGACAATCTTTCAGGTGTTTGAAGACAGTGATAGCAGCTTCCCTCAATTTTCTCTTTCCCCAAAATAATTATCTCAGTTCCTCATATGGCATATTTGTAAGTCCCTTCTCTATTCTGATTGCCCTTCTTCAAACCATGATTCAGTTTGTCAGGTGCCCACCTATAATGTGGTTGTAGTGGTTGTTTCCAGTCACATCCAACTCTTTGTGATCCCTTTTGGGTGGTTTTCTTGCCAAAGATACTGGAGTGATTTACCATTTCATTCTCCAGCTTATTTTACAGATGAGGAAACTAAGGCAAACAGGGTTAAGTGATTTACTCAGGATTACACAGCTAGTAAGTGTCTGAAGCTGAATTTGAACCCAGGTTTCCTGATTCCACCTAGCTGCCCAACTAAAATGTGGTATTCAGGACTGAATGATGTGTTAGTAATGCAAAAAAGTGAACCTATTCTCTCATTTTTTAGCTGTTTTAAAACACTTTTCGAATACCTAAAAGCTATTGATTCATTGAGCTATCAGTTAACTAAAACTTTTAAGTCTTTTTGGTTATAACGTATATTTCCATTAAAGGATGGGTAATGTTTCAACAGTCATGATGACAGCTGGAGGGACAAGGCATTCACAGAAAGATTTTGTTGGGGTCATATAGTAGAGGGCCTTGAATCATTGGCTGAGGAATTTGTTAGGTAAAAAAGAGCAGTTGAAGTGGATTTGAGCAGGAAAGGATGCAGTAATAAGAGCAGTGCTTTAGAATGATTAACATGAAAGTCGTATGTAAGATAAATTTGAAAAGGACAAGATTAGCAGTGGGAAGACCAATTGGATTACTGAAATAGTGTAGGTCTAGTCTCTCTGTCTTGCTTTCTTATATTTATATCTGCAGCACTTAGCACAATGGCTTGTGCAGAGAAAGTGTTTAATAAATGCTCTCTCTCTGGTAATAAGAGTTTGCTTTTTTTTTTTTTTTGGTGAGGCACTCAGGGTTAAGTGACTTGCCCAGGGTCACACAGCTGTTAAGTGTCAAGTGTCTCAGGCTGGATTTAAATTCAGGTCTTTCTGACTCCACGGCCAGAGCTCTATCCACTGCGCCACCTAGTTGCCCCACTTGAATTTAGACAGTGGCAGTAGGAATAGAAAGAAGGAGCCTTCCAAGATATTGGGGAGATTATAGGACTTGATCACTGGTCAACTTTACAATATGGTCAAAATACAGAGAGAGAAGAAGCAAAATGAACAGAGAGAAGTTAAAGCTTATGGCATAGGAGAGAGAGGGATGGACTTTGAATCAGAAGAATAGGGTTCAAATACTCAGCCATTTATTAGATGTATGACCATTGACAATTCGTTTCAATACAATAAATATCATGCACTTACTACATGCAAGGCGTGACAGTTTCTGTCCTCTTGAGTTCATATTCTACTGTGGTAATCTACTGTGCATTGATTCCTCACTTGAGAGAATAGCCCAAGGCCATTCTCCTAGTATTCTTTCTAAAATCCCTAGGAAGATTCATCTCTTATCCTGTAAATGTTACTAGTCCTTTGAATTTTGCTTTCGTTCCTAAAACTAACCAGGAAGTTCTCCTCTCTTTTCCCATTAATCAAATGATAGATTCTCTCTGGGCTCAGATGGCCCCATGGCACCTGGCATCATAGATTGGACCCACTATGTCCCCTTTGTCAGCTAACTGTAAGTAAATTGAGGAATATTCAACTCTCATACTCTCAACCCTCTCAGTTATTGCATTCAAAGACCCCAAATTGTAGATCAGGAAGCAGAGATACCAGATGACACCCTGTTCACCAATCACAATCCTGGAACCCACAGAAAGGAGGGAACATTTCTCACATCAGAGATGGAACTTTCCTTATACAAAAAGGGAAAGCTGAAGTTGGGAAGCCATCTTGGGATGAGCTGACATGTTACTCCAAATTGAGTAATTCAAATACCATCTCATTGTGAACAGAGGTTTAGAGGCCTCTAGTATCCTACTCCTATCTCCCAGACAACTACAAAAAATAGTCTTTAATACATTCCTTTTGGATGCAAAAGTCTTGTGTATGGGCTTCCTTTTTCCCTCTTTATTTGTGGAGGCTGTCCTTAGTTCCACATAATCCCTCATTTGGAGTTGGAGAAACTAATCCAGTCTCCTCCTTATTTTAAAACTCTCGCCCAAGGTTCCCTCATTCCAGTTTCTGCAGTGAGTGGCCCTAATTTAGAGAAATATACTTGGAAATAAGAATAAAAGCAAAAGAGATCAATAAAAATGATAAATTTCCTAAAAGAACCAAAGGAGCTATTGCAAATAGAAATACTTTGTAAACTAAAAATGCTATAGAAAATTAAGGGATTATTGTTACTGTGAATGCCCTGGAGAGAAGCAGAGACAGGGAAAAGGGGCTTTACTTGTCTTTCCATCTTGCCTCTGGCTGGGTATGTGACCATAAGAGGTCTACTTCACCTGTGGCTCTGGCAGCTCTCTAAAACTATCGATTGTAAGGAAGGTGCCTGCCTGCATTGGTGGAGAGAATTCCCTCTTCTGGGAGTTTCTTTTACCAATGTAATCATAAATCCAGTCCCTGTTCTGCCACATGTATTTGTTTCCACTGTGGAGGCAGCCTTCTCTGTAGCTTTAACAATTTAGCCAAGTTTTTCATGAGCATCAAACCATTATCTCACTTCAGAATTCATACAGAAGTTTTTTCTGTTTGTTTTTTTTCCTTTCCTCTTTTTTCTTTGTCTCTTTTCCTATCACTTGAATTTCTTAGTTTCTTCTGGCAAGACAGAAAGATAGATCTCCCCTGTAGAGCTACTCAGAACAAGTTTAACCTTTGTTCCATACAACAGTTTTTTGGATAATTGAACACACTGATTACATTCAGGTCTTTCTTCCTTCATTGAGAGTGTTGACCCTACATTTGCTTAAACAGCTGACTTTATATAGTATTTACTCTATGCCATATGTGTACTACGTGCTTTACAATTATTATCACATTTTATCTTCGCAACAACCCTGGGAGATAGGTACTACCATTATCCTCTCTTTACAGATAAGGAAACTGAGACAAACTGGGTTAAGTAACTTGCCCAGGGTCACACAGATAGTAAATGTCTGAAGCTACATTTGAACTCAGGTCTTCCTGACTCCAGGCCTGGTGTTGTCTTTCCCAGTGTCTCTCTTTCCCTGTGAATTCTAGTCTTCCCTTCCCTTGCTTATTTCAAAGGATCATCATTCTAGAGCTAGAAGGGAGGGACCTCAGAGGTTATTTATTCTAACCCATTCATTTTACAGATAAGGAAACTGAGTTCTAGAAAAGTTAAGCAGTTTGCCTATGACTGGCACTGGGTCTCAGGAGAGATGAAGTTGATAGACAGAGAGACAGACAGATAAATAGATAGATGGTTGGATGGATGGATGAATAGATAGATAGATAGATAGGTAGATAGATAGATAGATAGATAGATAGATAGATAGATAGATAGATAGATAGATAGATAGATAGACTGATAGATATGAGAGCTAGATACATAAATAGCTGTTATTTCTCCTGAGGTCCAGTTCTAATCATAGGCAATATAGGTTATATAAATAGGCTACATGTAAGATATATATGTATATGTACATACACGTTTATATATATATATATATATATGTATATGTATATATGTATATATGTATTTAGCAGTCATTTGAATATAAATGATAATTGAATCCTTGGGAACTGAGAAGAGAGTATAGCAAGAGAAAAATGTAGAGGGTCAGGACAGAGCTCTGACTGATTTCTCATAAAGAATCTGTGGTTCTTTGTGAGTTCCATCTTCTTTTCATGTTAAAGAAACCATGGGGTTTCATTGCCAATATGCTGTTGTAGATGTCTACCACTCAAGAAGGAGAGAAATAATGGCAGGGCATGGAATCATAGACTTCTTGAGGGGCCCTTCTGTGCTACCATTT